TCTTTTTCGCACAGTCAACTTGCCAGGTGTTATCGTCAACCTGCAATCCTCTGCAGGATAATTGCGTTGGGTTACCTGGGTTACCTGCACTAGCAGGCCTGTCACTATCAGACCTCTAGTGGTCTACCTCCGGTCACTCCGGAGACCACTTCCGATGCACTTTAAAAGATACCCAACGCACTTAGAGAAATTCCATGACACGAATCACTGCTGGAAGCGGTAGGTGCCATAGACAGAACGGGGAAAAAAGGGGTGAATCCGTTGGTTCGCCACCACGGATCGGACCAACCGAGCCTTGAAATTTCATCAGCCCAGTTACTTTTAGACGGAATGTATTCCCAATACATCCATGTTCGCAACGTCCGTTTCTTGAATGAGGCAAACTTGAACTATGACGCTCACTCTGTGAGTTTCCTCATCAGCAACCAAACAAGCAAGTCGAATCACGTGCCCCATGAAGCATGAAGCAACCGAATCGAGCAAGTCAAAATCAGAAATGAACCATGAAAACCCTTCATGGAGCAATAAGAGCGCTGGCCACATGGAATTAACGCTCCAAGAGAATCCCTGGAGCAACTGCGCAACATATGGGACCGCCGACCAAGTCGAGCGTGGAGTACGACGCTCAGTCCATGACTCCCCGCGTGACCAACAGTGTCAAGGAAGTCGTTAACGGGATATGTGAACGCACGCTCCCTGAAACACCTCGTGAAGCAACAGCGCCAAACAAGTTGAGCTGGAAAAGTGAACGTACGCTCCATGAAACTCCTCATGAAGCAATAGCACCAACCAAGTTAAACCTGCTATACGAACGCAGCCCCAGGAGATTTCGCATGAGGCAGCAGAGCAACCCAAACTTGGTGTTGTAATGCGCGCTTCATGAGACTCATGAAGCAGCAGCACCCCAATCCAGCGGAACTTGAACGGACGCACGCTCCATCAGTCCCCTCATGAAGCACCGCATCAAGTCAAAATTAAATCAGCCATGAAAGCGCTGGCCAAACTCCAAGACCCCATGAAGCAACTGTGCAAAACACAGGAGACCCCTCATGAACAAACAGCGCCGAGCTTGGACTATGATGCTGGGTCCATGAGTCCCCACTTGAACAACAACCACAACAAACAAGTAAAGCTTGATATGCGACGCACGCTCCATGGAACACCTCATGAAGCAACAGCGCCAACCAAGTGGAAGTTGATATGTGAATGCCCGCTCCATGAAACACCTCATGAAGCAACACCGGCGACCAAGCCAAACTTGGGATGTGAACGTACGCACCATGAGGCCCTTCAAGAAGCAGCGGCGCCAGCCAAGTCCATTGAGATTCCATGAGACCCCTCATGAAACAACAGTGCCAACAAAACCCGCTTCATGAGACCCCCTCCTGAAGCTTCAGCGCCGACCAAGCCGAA